ATTTGTTTATTTGACACAGAGAGAGAGACAGAGAGAGCACAGGCAGAGGGAGAGGGAGAAGCAGGTTCCCCATGGAGCAAAGAGCCCAATGCAAGGCTCGATCCCAGGACCCTGGGATCATGACCTGAGCCAAAGGCAGACGCTTAACCGACTGAGCCACCCAGGTGCCCCTATTCTCAATGTTGAATATGCATAACATTGGAAATGATTAATCAACAAATATTTTACCAATTACTCTTAAGAGAATATATTTTTACATTAAAAATTCTAGAAAACATTTTTTCAGTAATTCCTATATTACCTGAAATTTATTTAACAATAGTACCCACTATTAGTTAAAATTCATAGTATATTAGAGTTAGAATGAAAATATTTTAGGATTTTCTCTTGATCACTAAAAGCAAATCAATGGAATTACATTTCAATTTGATATGATTATTAGAATTGCTTACAATAAATTCTGAAAGCTTAAAATAGTACCTGATTTTTACTTTCTTTTTAACTTGCATTCAGTTGAATGTCTTTTAAGATTTATTTATTTTAGAGAGAGAGAGAGAAAACAAGCCAGGGGAAGGGCAGAGGGAGAGAGCATATGGAGCAGACCCCCTAGTGAGTGCGAAGCCCAAGGTGGGCTAGATTTCACAGCCCTGAGTTCATAACCTGAGCTGAAATCAAGAGTCCGAGGCTTAACTGATGGAGCCACCCAGGCGCCCCTCAGTTGAATGGCTTTTAATGTAATAGATTTTCATATGATTCTTAGAAAAGAATAATCTGATAAAAAATTTTGTAAAATGAAAACAGAAATAAAATGGTTTATAATATTTATGATGCTCCAATTTCTACATAACCTCTACTTTTTGGTGTGTGTTGTATACATAAATTTATGAAATAATTGCTGTGTCAATAACCTGCAAATAGCAAATAATCAGACATCATTATTTCAGATTTGTTGTTACAACTGATAAAATCATTCCTTTCTTTTTTTAAAGATTTGAAGTTTATTCATTCAAACCATCTGTTACTTATATAAAACCTGAGTTCTACCTGTAATCTGTTATCAGGTATAAAATTGACTTCAGCATTTTCTTTTAAATGCCTACAATTCCACAAAGCCTTGACATAACATATTTGTCCTTGGCCAGAAATACATACATTTTCCTAAAATTAATTTTTCATCACCAAGTTAATGACTTTTTGTGATAGCTTTATTATTTTCATTCTGATAAGTGATGTGATGATAGTCAAAAAGTTTAAGCATTAATCTTAATAATTAAAAAAATGACATGTTGGTAATTGGATTTTGAAATACTATTTTCACCTCGTATCCCCAAATAGATACCCCACATGTTAAACCACATCATCTAAAATTTGATCCCTGGCGTGCCTGGGTGGCTCAGTCAGTTAAGTGTCCGACTTGATTTTGGCTCAGGTCATGATTTCTCGGGGTCCAGCTGGCGTCAGACTCCTCGCTCAGCCGAGATTCTCTCTCTCCATCTGCCCCTCTTCCCCCACTTGCATGCACAGGCTCTCTCTCTCTCTCTGTCTCAAATCTTTAAAAATAAAATAAAATAAAATTTGATCCCGTAGTTTATTATATTTAATTGATAAACAAGATCTACTCCCAAGAATGTAATTTTTGTTCCCTGCTTTTTAGAAGCCAGAGCCTCTCTTAGATTTGGGGACAGAATATTTTCTACAATAATGATACAATTTTATGTATATGAAAAAGCAGATTTTAGAAATTTTTTATTAGATATTTAAATAGAAAGATTAAATAGAAAGATACTTTGAAGTCTAACATTTTTCTTCTTTTTGAAGTCTAACATTCTTAAGTTGATTTTGATTAAGTTGATTTCTCTTTTAGAATTTAAAATGTCATGAAAAATACTTTATAATAGTCTAATACTAATCAATACTCTGCAGTCAAGCCATTTGGAACTAACAATGTAAAAATAAATAATTTCCAATTTTTATCCTTAACAGTTTAAAAATGTCTTCTATTTTAATCATGTTACATAGTTTGCAAGGCATTTTGAATAATTGATTTCTTTCAGTCCTTATAATTCCACAAATTTTGTGGGTCTGGTGTCCTCGTCTTAATTTTATTTAAAAACAGGAACAGAAAGAAGAAACATTTCAGATTCAGCCAGTGAGAAAGTGACAGATCAGGACTAGGTTCCAGTTGTTTTTCTACTGTGAAGAATGGCTTCACCATCCAGATCTATGCCATAAAATTACTTTGACATTTGGATATACATATGCCCAAATTTGTGGGAGAAATACCTATATAATTATTTTTCCCAAATTATATTATCACAATGTTTCTTCTCTAAGTAGAATATTGCTATGAAAAGTGTTTTCCTCTCTAATTAATTTTACTTTTCACAAACCCTGTCACATTGGGGAATAGATTGCCCATATTGGGGAGATGAAGTTAACAGACTGAGCTTACCACATAGAATCAGTGGTGAAGTCAAGATTAGAATTCAGAGCTCAGTATTAGAATTCAGAGCTGAAAGAGCTACTAATCATTTCTACTTATATCCAGAACAAGAAAAAAAAAAATCATAACAGGCAAATGTAATTCAATTCACTCTAATAATGAGCAACTATGTAAACATAATAAAACTGCATAAAATTAATACATTTGATATTGCCTCTTTAAAATCTAAATATAAAAATGTTAAAATAAGAAAAACTGACCAAAGGAGACATTAAAATTACCTTAAATCCATTAAATCAAAACTTCTTCAGGTGGGTCCTGGTCACTGGTAACTATAAACATCTCTCCAAGAGAATCTCATGTGCAGCCTTGGTTGGGATCCATGGGGTGAAAGCAGAGGTGAGGAAGATGGAACCGAAGGCAGGCACAGGCATTGGACACGGTCCCACCCAGAGCCGAAGATGGCAGTGAACGTATATTCAACATCAGTCGCCAATGATAACCTAAGTCGACGTGACATGCTGGCCTGGATCAATGAGTCTCTGCAGCTGAATCTGACGAAGATCAAACAGTTGTATTCAGGAGCTGCCTACTGTCAGTTCATGGACACGCTGTTCCCTGGCTGCATTGCCTTGAAGAAAGTGAAATTCCAGGCTAGGATAGAACATGAATACATCCAGAACTTCAAAATACTACAAGCAGGTTTTAAGAGAATGGGTGTTGACAAAATAATTCCTGTGGACAAATTAGTAAAAGGAAAGTTTCAGGACAATTTTGAATTTGTTTAGTGGTTTAAGAAGTTTTTTGATGCAAACTATGATGGAAAAGACTATGACCCCATAGCTTCCAGACAAGGTCAAGAGACTGCAGTGGCTCCCTCCCTTGTTGCTCCAGCTCTGAACAAACCGAAGAAACCTCTCAGCTCTAGCAGCACAGCTCCACAGAGGCCCATTGCAACACACAGAAACACTGCAACCCCTAATGCTGGCCCAGGTGTGGTGCAAAAGAATCCTGGTGTGGGCAACGGGGATGACGAAGCAGCTGAATCGATGCAGCAGGTCACCATATTGAAACTTAGCGTCGAAGACTTGGAGAAAGAAAGAGATTTCTACTTTGGAAAGCTAAGGAACATTGAATTGATTTACCAGGAGAACAAGAGGGAAAACAACCCGGTATTGCAGAGGATCGGGGACATTCTGTATGCCACAGATGAAGGCTTTGTGATACCTAATGAAGGGGGCCCACAGGAGGAACAAGAAGAGTATTAACAGCCTGGACCAGCAGAGCAACATCTGAATTCTTCACTCCAAATCATGTGCTTAACTGTAAAATACCCCCTTTTATTATTCTTAGAGGACTCACTGGTTTTTTTCATGAGCAAACAGTACCACTTAAGTGCACTTTGCAGAAGTTTCACCCCTTTTCCAATGAGTTTGACTTAGGAGCTTTTACCCTGTAGCAGAGCAGTATTAACATCTCGTTGGGTCACCTAGGGGACAAAGAGCCTGACCATGGGGCTCACGGTGTGGATGCTGGTAACACTGATTGCTGGAGAAGGTGTTTTTATGTGATACACTGAGGTGGAGACCTCAGCAGAGAAATGTAAAGACTGATTTGAATTTTAAGCTAATGTGAAATCTTGGCAGAGAACATTTAAATAAATAAATGCCTTAAGAGTAAAAGAAAGCAGAAATGAGCAAACTTTTTCTGTAAGGGGCCAGATAGTAAATAACTGAGGCTTTGCTGGTCATATAGTCTCTGTCCCAACAGCTCAACTCTGCCATTAATGTGAAAACAATCATATGCAAGATGTAAACCAATGAATGTGGCTGAATTTCAATACAACTGTATTTGTGACACTGAAATTGGAATTTTATATAATGTTAATTTGTCTGAAATAGTACTTAAAATTTTTTTTTCAACTATTAAAAAAAGAAAACTGTTATTATGGAATATACTAAAATGGCTGGGTCAGATTTGGCCCCCTGGCCATGGTTGCCAACTTCTATTCCCTAGAAATCCAATTAACCACTCACTCTGTGTGTTTGACTATATTTTATATACTCTAATTATGGATTTTATACTATTCTATTACATTCACTTGTCTTTGTTCTCAGTGACCAGCGTAGTATGTGGAACTTGAAAGGTATAGAAAATAAATAAATAAATGAATGAATGAATACATGAGCTATATACATGCAACCAGAATTGCCCAAGAAATTATTTTGTGCCTTCTCAACCGATAAATGTTCATCATTTAAGTGGAGATTGTTGGCAGAATACCATCGTTTTTCACTTGACATATTTACTTGACAAATATGGTCTGTATGGTTATAGACATAGTCTTACAAACCAAGAGGAAAGCTATATTTACCTTTGCATGGCGTGGTCTTAGGACCTTTGTGTTGTTTACAACTTTTCAGACAAATACGGTTTTCTTAAAATTATATAAACGTACGTATCTGTGAACCTTTCTTAGTGGGGGCTTTTTTGCTGGGTGCCTTGCCTTTTGGCAATTATAAGTGCTACATGTTACCTCTTTGTGTTTTCTGTGAAGCTAGAGAGATTGCAGGCTGAAAATATCTCAGAGTGGGACAAGAGGGAAATACTTGAAACACAGAAACAAGGACTGGAAAAAGAAAATAGAAGGCTAAAGGCTCAGGTGAAAGAAATGGAAGAGCTCCTGGATGGGAAAAACAGATTCAGTGCAAACTCTCAAAGTCCTGATTTCAAGACATCACAAATTGAACGGCAGGAAGAAAAAAAGGTATGGGTGCTCCTTGGAAGGGATGTTCTCACTCACTATACATGCCCCCCTGATGCTTGGTCGATGCTGCCTTCCCTTTTATCCACCTCCAAATCTGAGCATTTTCTTTTGTGCTATTTAACCTCTGATCGCTTGCTCTCTTTCTCATCATAAGGTAGAATAACATTGTTCATGACTATGAACACAAGAGTTTAACAAATTTTGTATGAAAATGTTAGAGTAGGACAAATCTGACAGTTTGAAGCTTTTCCAGAAGGAAGAAAAAAGTGAAGGGATGGACCTTTGTGTTTTTTGTTTCCTTTTATACTTTTGTCTCAGTATTTTTCAAGCAATTGATCTTATTTCTCAATAAGTAAATTTCTCCATTAGTTTGAACAGCTGTGGAATAAGCATTTGTCAGTAGTCTTAGTATCTGCATAAACATTTCAATTTAGCTGAAGTTTACTCTCCTCTGGTTCTTTTTTAGTTTCAGAAAAATTATTTTTGAGTCAAATCATTGCATCATGTTGCAAATAGCTTTTATAGGCTATAACATAAATATTAAAGCTAGAATTAAATTCAACGTCTGACTTTGAGAACTTCAGGTTTTTGGAATTGTTTTATCCTAAGGCCAATAGACATTATTCCTGCTATAGATGGAATTTTTAAAAATAAATAGCTTTTAGATTTAAAAAATAATCTCTTAATGGCAGTTGCAATTTGTTTGTTTTGGTGTCAACATGCTGCAAAACATTTACATCTTGTTTCTATTTCTTCCATTAAAATACCTACAGTATCTTAATGCACAATTCTGTTATTTCACTCAATCTCTTTAATAGTGAATTAAAAGTGAGTTTGGTAAGTTCATATTTTTATTTTATTTTTTAAACTTTTAGCTAAAATGTTTTATTTTTTTATTTTTTTATTATTATGTTATGTTAATCACCATACATTACATCATTAGTTTTTGATGTAGTGTTCCATGATTCATTGTTTGCGTATAACACCCAGTGCTGCATGCAGAACCTGCCCTCTTTAATAGCCATCACCAGGCTAACCCATCTCCCCACACCCCTCCCCTCTAGAACCCTCAGTTTGTTTTTCAGAGTCCATCGTCTCTCATGGTTCATCTCCCCCTCTGACTTCCCCCCCTTCATTCTTCCCTTCCCGCCATCCTCTTTTTTTTTTTAAACATATAATATATTATTTGTTTCAGAGGTACAGATCTGTGATTCAACAGTCTTACACAATTTTTAGTTATATAAGTAGTTCATACTCATATGAGCTCTAAAACCTAAATGTCCAGAAGAATTGAATTCCATATCACTTTTCCTTATTCTTTGGGATTCTAGGGATTAATTGCAATTGCAAGATTAAATTGCATTAGAATTCCGTGACTTGGCATGCCAGTTAGATATCTAAAGTGAAATATTATAGTCAGTAATCATAATTTTTATTATATGTATTCAGAAACCAACCATAATAGGGTATTTGGTTCTGATCTATACAACTGACAAATCCGGTTTTGTACAGACTTCTACTTGTGAAAGTACAGAATTATTTCAATTAGGAAACAAGTTTTGATCATCAAAATACCTGCTTGCATTTGACTCACTTGAACAGAACAAGCCTTTATATAACACTCTGAGTCCATCACTGTTGTAGAAGCTGAGTGATGTGAAGATTAATGAATCCTATCCCTGCCCAGCCTGGGCTTAAAGTCTGTGTAGGGGGATAAACACATAAATTATTATCAGTAGTTTATCATAATGATTGCTAATAAAATAGAATGGGAATACAGAGGAAGCAGTTCATTCTGTTTCATCTTGATTCCTATCTAGTTACATCAAAATGTTACAATACAAAGTGTGTCAGTTAGGAAATATAAGGGTCGATTGGGAACTGTTTGGAACTGGCATATATGTCCATTGGCATGTCCTGTCAATGGGGCACAGGGTCCAGACCTGGGCTCTTTGGGACAAGTGCAGTTCTTCAGCTAAGAAATAAACAGAACTTGGAAACTGAAGATTCTGGAAGGTCTGACCAAAAAAGTGGGTGTGTTCATCAGTCAGAAAACTATGCCTTAAGTATATATTTTCTTGATGACCAGGAAGAGGTGTTGATGATTCTTATGCTCTTCATTAAGAATTCAGACTCACTACCTGAACCAAAATAATTACTTATCATAGAGCAGCTGCAGGTCAGAATCCCTGGTGCCACAGAGATCCCCACTGGGATCAAGATTCAAATGTCCCCAAATGCCAAATGAACCAAGCTGCATATAAAACATGCCTAAGTCCAGAGAATACTGTGGATTTTATTATAACATGAAGTCAAATTGTAATTTTAACGTTATTTTAATAAAAACTAATTTATATGTATATAAATTATGCATGTAAGTATCCTATCAGAGTATCATGTGTACATAGGTATGTAATGACCATATAGAAGCAGCATATATCTATGTGAATATAATTTCTATATATGAGTGACACTGGAAATAGGTGCTGACATGTGACAAAACAATAACCACTTAATTATCACTCTCTTAAAGAGGTGTAAAGTCTCTTATGTTATCTTTATATCTAATCACATTTAATAAGTGTCTGTGACAGACACAAAATTGCCTGCTGTTCACAAAACTACAAATCAATAAATTGTGTTAATTTGTTGAATTTTAACATTCTCTGTTCAATGAATTTTTTAATAAATTCTTGCTTATACAAAAGGGGAGAATTTTCACCTATATATTTGAAATATACAGTGCTATATCTTGCATATATTTTTGCATTTTTTTGGCTTTAGTATTATTGGGGATAAATTTTTAAAGAAATTATCTTTTCATTTTAAATGGCACTATTGGGGCACCTGGGTGGCTCAGTTGGTTAAGCATCTACCTTTGGCTCAGGTCATAATCTCGGGGTCCTGGGATGGAGCCCCACATCCGGCTGCCTGTGGAGTCTGCTCCACTCACACCTCCCCATCCCCGTGCACACACTCTCTCTCAAATAAATAAAATCTTTTAAAAGAATAAAATAAGTTGTACTGTTAATTTAAAGACAAAGATTCTCCTTAACACGAATGATCTCATCACATGAATCTCCATCTTGTGGTTGTTTTTATGTCCTATGTTGAATCTACATGTGCATCAGATCTTTTACAATTAAAAAAACCAAGCAGTACACATGAACTTTTAATGAATAGACTGGAAAATTACTAATCAGTATGAACATTTGAGAGGTGGGGCCATGCCTACGAGAGACACAGAGAGAAGGAAGTATCAAGACAACTGGTAAATCATGTGATTAAGAAAAGAACATCTTCACCAGGGCTTGGTGAAAAGAAAAAGAAAAGGAAACTTTAAGGACTTCACGAATTCTAATCTCTTTCTGAGCTTTTGTTCCTTCCAGGAACTTTTAGGAGGACAGAGAGAAGAGGCGAGGAGAAGACAGGAAAAGAGAAGACAAATGAGGGACAAAGAAGGGGAAAGTGAAGTGTGTGCCCACTATAAAGTGAGAAGACATAACAAAATAACCACAATGGGAACAAACACATATAAGCTGATATTTATCAAAATATGTCCTGATTTTGCTGTAATGGGGAAAAGTAGAATTGTAATTCCCAACCATTTTCCTAAATACGATTCCTATCCTATAAATGCTGATTTACTTTATTTACTTTATTGAAGTGAGACAGATTTTTGTACATGGAAAGCCTCAATTCTGCTGATATGCAGTATATGTATTCTCCATTCCAAATAATACTTCTTAAAGTGAAAAGTTACTGGAAAAGGGGGTCAGTATTCTACTGGGTAAAGCCCCATGAACTAGTCAGCATGCCTCTCATGAAGTTTTTTGGAGGCTTGTTTTCTTAAATCATTCTGGCGACTGAATCCCTTCCTTCAGGTCACACTATGGGTCGTTTTCAGAAAGTTAATGTGACAGAGTGGTAATTGATGTGTCTCAGGAAAATGATGAATTAATCTAAGAGTGGAAAGGCCATCAAAGTCAATTCCTAATGAATTGACTTTTCTGACAGTGTCCATTCCTTGAGTAGGAATGACATTATATTTATTTAGTTTAGTAACTTTACCCTCAGAAATATTTTCATTCAGAGGTTTCGCAGGCAAACATACGGATTTGTTAACTTTTCCTCATTCACATTTCTTTTTCAAAATCTTCTTTGCTCATAAAATTATTGAATAATTTAAGAATAAAAATAATATCTATTCTTAAACTGTTATAAAATAGTAATAATTTAAATATAGAATAACATAATTTGATGTTATTAGATAGGGTCCTATCATGTTTTTCTTTAACTGTTCTTACATAGCTTTGCTTCCTGAGCTATACTAGAAATTTTAATTTTTAATATGGTGATCAGTAAAACTGTGTATTATGGTAGAGAATTTTGGATATATGGCAGTTTTTAACCCTTTCATATGTGGAATATATTTTGTATATAAAAATGAAAATAATTCATTTTGAAGAATGCCTTCTTTGTAGCAAAACACTAAGCTACACGTGGGTGTCTTTTATGAATTGATAATTTAGTTATTTCATGAAACTTAGAAACGCATCCATGATTTTGTATACATTTTAACAAAAGTCCATGGGATTGTATGGGTTGAGCAGAACAGTGTTCTTTTCCCCAAGAATTTCTGAAGTTACCAGAGATAGACTCTTAAGTACTGTTTATGAATGTCATAAGGAGGTATCTACTGAAAGTTCCTACTGGATTGAAATAAATCAATTTACTACACAATAGGGTGACATTTTCTCTAATATGACTGCCCTCACTCACCCTTAAATACACACATGCATGCTGCACACAAACACGCATACACATGCATACAACAAATTGATTTTTGTAAATAAACTCTAAAATAGGGGTTTTATTTTTTTCTTTCTGTTTTGTGATTCTCCACTGGAGAATAGGTACACAAATAAGATTTTGTATATATGAAGCCTCATTTCTAGGAATATATTATCACTGGGTGGGATTTCAATTTTTCTTATAAAACACAAATGTCATAACTTATTATTATTATTTTTTAAAGATTTTATTTATTTGACACAGAGAGAGAGCACAAGCAGGGGGAGCAGCAGAGGGAGAGGAAGAGGCAGGCTCCCCGCCGAGCAGGGAGCCTGATGCGGGGCTCGATCCCAGGACCCTGGGATCATGACCTGAGCCGAAGGCAGACGCTTAACTGACTGAGCCACCCAGGTGCCCCTGTCATAACTTATTAAATTAAAATTATGAATAGTAAATCCCAACCCCTACTACAGTGTTTGGCACATCTTCTTAAATGTGTATCAAATGAATAAATAAATTTATTTCCATTTTCATTATTTAAATTTCATTGTATATTTTGATTTATCTTTTTTATTTTTATTTATTTTTATTTTTTTAAAGATTTTATTTATTTATTTGAGAGAGAGAGAATGAGAGAGAGCACATGAGAGAGGGGAGGGTCAAAGGGAGAAGCAGACTCCCTGCCGAGCAGGAAGCCCGATGCGGGACTCGATCCAGGGACTCCAGGATCATGACCTGAGCCAAAGGCAGTCGCTTAACCAACTGAGCCACCCAGGCGCCCTATTTTGATTTATCTTTAATTCTTTTACTTTCCTTTTATTCTATGTTAGAGGGCAATGAGGTTATTGGAGGCTTATAATATCTTTCAAAATCTCTTTCCTGTATACCAGATCAATGATATTTTATCTGATAGCCAATTAAAATCAAGATGCAAATTTTGACACTTTAGGCCACTTATATTTTGCAGATTTAGAATTTCATGAAATTTTATAATATAAATTGTGACATTCAGATATGAAATTATATCATTTTGTGTTTGATATGTCTAGTGTACTATTAATAATCCACTATATTATTACAAAATGATTGGCAGTTCACATGCTGTCATCGGTGGATTTATATTAGCTTGATTTAAAGCAATGATAAAAAATAATGGTTAGTTTCTTATTTAAAATGATGAAATACTATGGTTATAATACTTCTTTAAAACTAAAGCTAAAATTCAAATAAAAAATAAAACTATAAGATGAGGAAAAACCCATAGGTCTGGGACATTCACTCTTTTGTTTTTTCCTTTTTCTTAAATTGAAATTACATTACATAAAATTAAACATTTTAAAATGAATAACCTAGTAGCATTTAGTACATTCACGATGTTGTACAATTACCACCTCTAACTGATTCCAGAACATTTTCATCATCCCCAAGGGAAACCCAGTAAGCATTATACAGCAGTTCCCCATCCCTCACTCCCCTGAACCTCCAGCAACCACAAGTCTGCTCTCTCTCTCTCTATGGACTTACCTGTTCTGGATATTTCATATGAGTGGGATGATACAACCTGTAATTTTCTGTGTCTGGCTTTTTTAACTTAAATATGGGGTGTTCAAGGTTTGTGTGTACATTCGTACTTCATTTTCCTTTAGGTTGCCCAGTATTTAATTCTATGGGTATACAATAATTTGTTCATCCATTTATGTGCCAGTGGACACTTCGGTTGTTTTCATCATTTGCTTTCAATTATTTTAGGTACATAACTAGGAGTGGAATTTCGGGGTCATATGGTAGTTCTATATTTAATGTTTGAAGGAACCAGTGAGTTTTTTTTTTTCCCACAGTGGCGGAACCATTACATCCCTATCACAATGTATGAGAGTTCCTGGCTCTCCATATCCTCAGAAACACTTGTTCTTTTTTGGTTTGTTTTGTCTTTTTAAAATTATATTCATCCTAGTGGGTGTGTAGTGTGGTATCTTGTGGTGGTTTTGATTTGCATTTCCCTCATGACTGGTGATTTAAAAATCCTTCTGTGTGCCTTACATATCTTTTTTGGAGAAATGTCTATTCAAGCTCTTTAACCCTTTTTTTTAAACATAAGGTTGTTTGCCTTTCTTTTGCTGAGTTGTAAGAGTTATTTAGGTATTCTGGATATTAAATCCTTCTCAGATATTTGATTTCCCAACATTTTCTACCATTCTTTAGGTTGTCTTTTCACTTTCTTGGGAATGTCTTCTGATGTATGCAGTTTTAATTTTGATAAAATCCAGTATATCTATTTTTCTTTTGTTGCCTGTTCTTTTAAAGTTTCATTTCTAAGAGTCAGTTGCTAAATCCAAGGTTGTGAAGATTTAACTCCTATGTTTTCTTCTAAGACTTTTATAGTTTAACCTGTTATATTTAAGTCATTGACCTATTTTGAGTTAATTTATACACCTATGGTATAAGATAGAAATCCAGCTTCATTATTTTACATATGACTACCCAGTTGCTTCAGCACCATTTGTTCAAGAGACTATATTTCTCCAATTCAGTTGTCCTGGTACCTTTGTTGCAAATCATTAGTTTACAGATATATGGGCTTATTTCTGGAGGCTCAGTTTCATTCCATTGGTCCACATGGTTACCATTATGCCAGTCCCACATTGTTTTGATTACTGTACCTTTGTGATAAATTTTGAAATCAAGAAATAAGACTCCTCCAACTTTCTTCTTCTTTTTCATTATCATTTTGGATATTTGGAGCCAATTGAAATTCCATATGAATTTGAAGATCAGCTTTTCTATTTCTGTAAAAAAAAAAAATGCAATAGGGCTTTGGATAGGGACTCCATTGAATCTGTAGATGACTTTTGGGAATATTGAGAACTGCTGAATGTGTATGTCTCTCCAAAGTTCATATGTTGAAATCTTATTGCAAATGTGATGGTATTTGGAGGTGGTGCTTTGGGGAGCTGATTAGGTCTGACAGCAGAGCCCTCATGAATGGAATTAGTGGATTTACAAAAGAGACTCCAGAGAGCATCCATATTATTATTCAGTGAAAGT